GCAGGATTACAGGCTGAGCCACCGAGTCCGGCTGTCACACACATTTTCTGTCACATGAACGAATTCAGGTCAGGACTAGATAAAATCTCTAAGAACCCCACAATCCTCACAGAGAACCGACATGCTCAGTTTCTTTTCCCAGAAAGCTGCAGGCTCCGGTCACAGACCTGCCCTTAGCACACCCAGCTGCACTGAGCTTTTTTTTTCCCTGGCTTCGAAAATCATGGCATGAATCCTTTCCGACTCCTTCCCTTCCCCACTTGGCCCCACATTAGCACGGCTACTGTCTTGCACAGCAGTCCTTTTTATAAATCTTCCCTAAGGCTCCTTCTATCCTCTTCCATTTCCCTTCTCCCAGCTGTTCCAGAAGAAAAAAAAGCTAATATAAACCGGAGAACCCATCTTTGCCTCACTTTATGATGATGGAATTCCCTATAGAACTTTTTGTCCCTTTCCATAAGAAGAGGGAAGAAATTTTATTTTCTCTGAAAATCAGTGATTGTGCTACTGGGACGTTAGGAAACGGAAGAGCTGTGCCAAAAAAGGCACAGACCTCTTTGAGCGTAATGTTATCTTGCAAACACCTTTCCCTAAGGACATTCTCAGAAGGTCAAGTTAAATCATACAAGTCTGTAGATGCTCAGTCATCATGAGATCATATACTTTTATTTATTTTTTTTATTATAGAGCTGAGGTCTCCTCAAGTTGCCCAGGCTGGTCTCGAACCCGCAGGCTCAGGCAACCCACTTGCCTTGGCTTCCCAAAGTGCTAGGATTACAGGCTGAGCCACCAAGCCCGGATGAGATCATATATTTTTTTTTTCCTTTTTTTTTTTTTTTTTTTTTTTTGGAGTCTTACTCTGTCGCCCAGACTGCGCTCCCGGCCACCGCAACCTTGACCTGCTGGGCTCCGGCGATCCTTCTGCCTCAGCCTTCCAAGGAGCTGGAACTATAGGCGCGCGCTACCACGCCCGGCTCATTTTGATTTATTGTAGAGATGAGGTCTTGCCAAGTTGCCCAGGCGGGTCTCGAACCCGCGGGCTCAGGCAATCCACTCACCTCAGCCTCCCAAGGTGCAGGATTATAGGCTGAGCCACTGAGCCCGGCCTCAGCTGATTTTTTGATGTATTGTAGAGATGAAGTCTCGTCAAGTTGCTTAGGCTGGTCTCGAATCCCTGGGTTCAGGCAATCCTGTCACCTCAGCCTCTCAAAGTGTTGGGATTACAGGAGTAAGCCATCGTATCTGGCTTCTTTTTGTTTTTAATCATTTTTTTTCAAATTTTAGACTCAAGGGGTACATATGCATGTTCGCTACAAGGATATATTGTGTAGTGGTGGGGATTGGGTCTCGGGTGCCCCATTCCCCAGATAGTGAACACTGTGCCCCATAGGTAGTTTCTGAACCCTACCCCCGCCTCTCCCCTCCCTTATTAGTGTTCCCAGTGTGTCTATTATTTCCATCTTTGTGACCGTTAAGCTCCTACATATGAGTGAGAATATGCAGTGTTTGGTTCTCTATTTCTGAGGATGCTGCTCTTGAGTTCCTCCCATGTGGCTGCAAAAGACACGATTTCATTCTTTTTTTCTTTTTTCTTTTGAGTTTGAGTCTCACCCTGTCGCCCATACTGGAGTGCAGTGGCCGCTCCAGCCACCGCAGCCTCAACCTGCCGGGCTCCGGCAATCCTTCCGCCTCAGCCTTCCGAGTAGCTGGAATTATAGGCGCACGCTACCATGCCTGGCTGATTTTTTTATTTACTGTGGAGATGAGGTCTCGCCAAGTTGCCCAGGCGGGTCTCGAACCTGTGGGCTCAGGCAATCCGCTCACTTCGGCCTCCCAAAGCACGAGATTACAGGCTGAGCCACCGAGCCCAGCCTCATTCTTTTTTATGGCTGCTGTGCAGCTCTTTAAAATGCTTGTAAGCCGGGCTCGGTGGCTCAGCCTATAATCCCGCGCCTTTGGGAGGCTGAGGTGAGTGGATTGCCTAAGCCTGCGGGTTTGAGACCCGCCTGGGCAGCGAGACCTCATCTCTATAATAAATCAAAAATCAGCTGGGCGTGGTAGCACATGCCTTCAATTCCGGCTACTTGGAAGGCTGAGGTGGAAGGATCGCCAGAGCCCAGTGGGTCGAGACTGTGGTGGCTGGGAGTGGCCACTGCACTCCAGTCTGGGCAACCGAGTCT